CCTCCCCAGCCCCCCTCCGGGGGCCCCCAATCCCTGCCCCCCTACCCCAGCATCCCCACAGAAAAAAACCAAACAAATAAAAAAACCCCAGCACTTACCAGCAGTCCAGCTGCCATCAGGGTCGCTGGGGCCCCACCTGCACAGCACAAGGCACAGGGACAGCCCCAGCCTGGGCCCTCTTGCCCCCTGCTGCCCGGGGGGAGGGGGGGGCTCAGTCAGGAGGCCCCAGAGCCCCCACAGCCCCTGCTACTAAGGTAAGTAGAGGCTTTTTTTTAATTCCGTTTTTGTTGTTCGTTTGTTTTTAAAGTGACGGTGCCTGGGGTTGGGAGCGGGGCAGCCACAGGAGCCTAGCAGTGTCAGTGGGGGTAGGGCTGGGTGAGGCAGCAGCAGCTGGCAGGGGATAGGGCCAGGTGAGACAGCAATCAGGGGACTAGGGTGGGTATGTGGGCCTTGCAGGGGGTGGTGGTAGCCCCTGTTGGGGGGGCCATAGCCCCAGTTTGGGGGCAACAAAATATACATGAAACATGTATTTAGAGTTCCCTTTATTATTATGATAGAGATTCTGGTCGGCTTCCACATTGCTTTAACACTGTAGATATATAATAAAACCTTGTCCAACTGATTGCTGTCTCACTCTCTCTCCCTCTCTTTATAGTGGTCTTTTGTTTTACTTGTGGAGAACATGGATTTGGGGGGATTTTAAAGAGGGGCTTTGGGATTTTTTTTTTTTTTTTTAAATCAGGGATTTTTCAGTTTTCCAATAGGGAACCCCAGAATGCCTGCTAGGGAGGCCAGTGGCAGGACCCTGCCTGCTCAGAGCTGGCACCTTGGACCCAGCTGGCTATGGCTGACCTCCTGGCCAAATGGGGCCAGGAGGACATGCTTTGATAGTTAAAAGCAGGCCACCACACCCAGAACATCTTCCGGGCAATAGCTGCCCAGATGGCTGGGCAGCAGGCACATGTGGCAGTAGTGCCACACAGAGGCCAACTCTGCCGCAACAGCCCACTGGCAGCTGGCCCAGAGGGGCAGATGCCTCTACTGGCTGTGCAGGCCCCATCCAGGTCTGGCAGGGGCGCAGCAGGTCACAGCCAGGCAGCAACCCCCACTGCCAGACTGCTGCAGTGGGTAGAGGGGGCAAGGAACTGTCAGGGCTGCTTCAGCAGTCCAGCTGGCACAAGGGGTAGTGTCCCCAGGTACCAATTGGCTGGGCCCCAGAAGCTCCTAAGAGCTAACAGCCCTGAGCTACTTGCCAGGGCAGCTTTTTGTACTGATGGGGTCAGGACAGGGCAGCTTTTTATACTGCTGGGGACAGTACAGGTGCTGGCCCTGGGCTTTAGCTCCCCCTGGCTGCAGATCCAGGAAGAGCCAGGCAAGGTTATTTTGCCCCAAGAGGCACAATTTGCTCCAAAAAGTGCATGTCCAAGCACGTGCGCTGAGGGAAAAAAAGCCCTGGCTTAAATTTGCACCGCTTCTATTTGAGCTGCTGCAAGCGCACATGCTTGCATGTGTGGACATGCCTATAAAGGCAATGACATTTAAGGTAAGTTATAATGAACTATTGCAGGGTTCTTTTAAAGATCTTTCAGTTTGAATCATCCACATATATAGACTAATACTATTCTGCACATTTTTGCTGGTGCATATACTCTTTATATGTGCACATGTGAACTCTTCAGTAAACTAAAACACCAAAAGAAAGCTTATAAGAAGTGGAAACTTAGATAAACAACTAGGGAGGAGTGTAAGAGTATTGTTCAGGCACGTAGAAATGAAATCAGGATGGCCAAAGCACAACTGGAGTTGCAGCTAGCAAGGGATGTGAAGGGTAACAAGAAGGGTTTCTAACAGTACATTAGCAATAAGAATAGGGTCAAGGGAAGTGTGTCCCCCTTACTGAATGAGGAGGGAGGAGAGTGGGGAGGTGTCAACCTAGTAACAGAGGATGCAGATAAGGCTGAAGTCAATGCCTCAATGCCTTTTTCACCCCAGGCTTCACGCACAAGGTCAGCTCCCAGACTACTATACCAGGCAGCACAGTTTGGGGAGGACGTGAGCAGCTCTCCATGGTGAAAGAACAGGTTAGGGACACCTTAGAAAAGTTAGATGGGTTCAAGTCCATAGGGCCAGACAGGATGCACTGAAGGGTGCTGAGGGAGTTGCCAATATGATTGCAGCCATGATCTTTGAAAACTTGTGGTGTTTAAGAGAGGTCCTGGATGATTAGAAAAGGGAAAATATAGTGCCCATCTTTAAGAAAGAGGAGGAGGATCCAGGGAACTACAGGCTGGTAAGCATCACCTCAGTTCCTGGAAAACTCACGGAGCAAGTCCTCAAGGAATCGATTTCTAAACACTTGGAGGAGAAAAAAAGGGATTAGGAGCAGTCAGCATGGATTCACCAAGGGCAAGTTGTGCCTGGCCGATCCGACTGCTTTCTAAGATAAGATGACTGACTCTGTATCAAAAGCCTTGCTAAAGTCAAGACGCATCACACCGGTCTCCCTGCATTCACAATCTCCCACAGCATTCTTGCAAGCAAGTTATCAAGTAAGCAAGCAAGCAAGGGTTCGATGAACAGAATGTTAAGTGAAGAGAAAACCGGCTGGATCATCAGGCTCAGAGGGCAATAGTCGGTGGCCGGAAGTCTGGTTGGCAGCCAGTATCAAGTGGAGCGCCCCAGGAGTTGGTCCTGGGGCCAGTTTTGTTCAATATTTTCATCAACTATCTGCAAGTTTGCACATGACCTCAAGCAGTATATATGCTGGAGGACAGGGCTAAGATTCAGAGAGATCTCAATGAATTGGAGGATTAGACCAAAAGAAACCTCATGAGGTTTAACAAGGACAAGTGCAAAGTCCTACACTGAAGACAGAAGAATTCCATGCACTAGTACAAGCTAGGGACCAACTGGCTGGGCAGCAACTCTGCAGAAAATAACTTGCAGGTTAGAGAGACGAATAAGCTGAATATGAGCCAACAGTGTACCCTTGTTGCGAAGGCAGCTAATGGCATACAGGGTGCTTTAGTAGGAGCACTGCCAGAGGATCAAGGGAAGTGATTATTCCCCTCTATTTGGCACCGTTGAGGCCACACCTGGAGTCCTATGTCCAACTTCGGGGCTCCCCACTACAGAAAGGATGTGGACAAATTGAAGGGAGTCCAGTAGAGGGCAATGAAAGGGGGCTCAGAAGCATGACTTCTGTGCAGAGGCTGAGGGAACTGGGCTTATTTAGCCCAGAGAATAGAAGACTGAGGGAGAATTTAATAGCAACCTTCAACTACTTGAAGGGTAGTTCAAAAAAGGTGGAGCTAGACTGTTCTCAGTGGTGGCAGATAACAGAACAATGAATAATGGAGTCAAGGGAAGTTTAGATTAGATATTAGGAAGAATTCTCACTAGGAGGCTACGTAGCAAAACCTGGGAAGAGATTACTCAGAGAGGTTGTGGACTCTCCATCCATGGAGGTTTTTAAGACCCGGGTAGACAAAGCCTTGGCTGGGATGATCTAGTTGGGGATGGTCCTGCTTTGAGCAGGGGGTTGGACTAGATGACCTCCTGAGGTCCCTTCCAACCCTAATTTTCTATAATATACACACATCTGCATAGCACTCACCATATAAAAGGTCAGATGGCAACCCTGAAACAAAGACAACAGAATCCCTTTGTCACCCAGAGCCCCCAGTTTGGACACACAAAATGTCATTAATGACCTCCAACCCCTCCTGAAAAAATGATAATCATCCCCAGGCCGACATGGTGGACAAGTCTGTCCTGGCTTACAGACCGGTTTTCAGCCTCAAAAAGCATCTCTCCAGCGAAACTACTCAACTTCTATTCTAACTAGACCTTGTTTCTGTGGCGGTCGAGTGGTAGGCCGGGCTGTGGCCAGTAGCCCGAAACGGCAAGCGGGTACTTTTGACCGATGGAGCGGAATTAGGCACAGATGCGTATTGGTAACAGATAGATTGTTTACTTACGCCACTGATGTATGGGCGCAGGCAGAGTTGACTGGCTTAGTTGCAGTTACAAACGAGTTACAAAGACTCTCTTAAACAGGTAAGGGAAGTAACCAGCGAAGTTTTCTTAATCAGCTTATTGCGGTACCAGGGTTGGGGTACGTCAGGAGGGTCGTGTGACGGAGTCACTGGTGGGTAATCAGTCCACCAGGTTCACTCTGAGATATGTGCGGAGTTCGCCGGGTTTAATTCCCCTACTCCAAGGTATATGCGGAGTTCTCCAACTTCTCTGAGTTCTCCCAGGTGTATATGGAGTGCTCCAACGTGGAGAAATATCCAGAGTTCTCCACTGTGGGCGGAAACTGATTTACCTTTTATATGACTAACAAGCCAATCGCTAGTCACTAAATATGAATAATTTGGAACCGGCCAATTGTGGTATGCATATTTGCATGAAGTTGGCGGGAACTTTTTCTAAAGCTGTACTTTTCCATGACATAGCATATAGTCACTGAGTTCTGGCCCAGCGGAATTTTCCACTGTGACCTACTTTCTCCCTGTGCCATATGTATCAAACCAAACCAATGGAATTTTCCACTATGGCACAGGCATGCAGACTGATTGACAGCAGAATGTTCCACTATGGATCAAACCAAAGGAATGTTCCACTGTGCCACAGGCATACAACTACTTGGTTCTGACAGTTTTATACCCAGATGCCAGCTGTACCCCCTCATCACCACAGACTGCATCATCACTGGACCAAGTAACAGGGAATGAACATCCAAGGTTCATTCACCTGCTCATCCACCAACACCATCTAAGCCAGGGTTGAGTAATTATTTGGGCTGGAGGGCCACTTAATGAGCTTTTGTAAACTATTGAGGACTGGAGGGGGGAGGAGAGGGGGAGAGAAAGGAGAACAAGGGAAGGAGGAGTGCAGCCAATTGATACTATCTGGCCTGCAGACCACTGCTGGGAGCCTGAGGAAGGAGCGTTGTGCCCATGCTGCTCTGCTCTGCCACAGCTGTAGCCACAGCTGGACAGGGCAGCATGCAGATTCCTCCACCTTCACCCACCCTCCAGCTTCCTGCTAGCACTTCATAGTTCCAGCACTGCAATAGCTAGGGCAGGGCATGATGCGGTGTACCAAACAGCCATCCCACTAACCACCATAATGACCTGCTGCCACTGTGCCACACCAGTAAAGTTAGGCACATGGACTCACCTCCTAGTGGTGCTGCAACACTCGTATGCGCTGCATCACACCCCATCACACGCGAGTCCGGCTGTCGGTGGCTGCGGTGCCATGACTGCACAGCCACAGTGCCAACTGGAAGCCAGGCAGAGGAGCATGGATGCAGGAGGGAGGGGAGATGGGCAGGGGGTAAAGCAGTCTGCATGCTGCACAGCCAGGCGTGGCCCACCCCAGCTGCAGAACAGAGCAGCGTGGGGTACAGCCCTCCTTCCTCAGATTTCTGCCAGCAGCTGGAATAGGATCAATTGACAGGCCAGATATGGCCTGTGGACTGTATTTTGCGCACCCCAATCTACGCCATCACATGCTTACAGTGCTGTTCTGCTGTCTACATTGAACAGATGGGACTCTCCAGCCTCAGAGATTTTCACATATGAAGGTTTCCACTCTCCATCCTTACAGTTTCCACATGAAAGGATGAATGAATGCAGATACAGTGTCCATACCAAAAGGACACACACAAGCCTATGGCACAACACTTTAACCTCCCTAGACTTTACATTGCTGACCTCAGAGTGGTTGCTCTAAGACAACAAAACTTTAGAAAAACTTGAACATGAAACTACAGAACAAAAAGTCATCCATGAACTGGACTGTATTAAGCATGGTCTAAACTAAGACTAAGGATTCTTATCCCATTACCTGGATTAGGTTTTAATAACCCACTGAGGAACACAGGGGTTAACTGCTTTGTTTTTCTACCTCTACTCAGCTGAGTCCCTTTCTTATTCCTCCCCCCTTCTCTGCCCCTTGTATTAAAATCCCTGCAGTCCCCTCTCAGCATCGGAGCAAGTGAGACCCTCCTCCCTCTGCTTATCAAGGCTTAGGCTGCATCTCTCCCATGTAGCAGGTCAATAAAGGGGCCAATCTACCCTGCCTCCTGACTGATCACAGACTAATGTGGCTAAGTACCTCCCTCAGTCGCCTCTAGTTATACCTGGCTCTCGTTACACAATAAACCATGAGCAGATTAAAGTAGAAGGCAGGGTAGGTTTACATTTTATAAACTAACTAAAACAGATATATCTATAGATATAGAAGTACACACACACTTGCACACGTTTGTGCTCTACTGTATATATGTGTATGTGTGTGTATACATGTATATATGTGCATATGCCTGAAGACAGGTGTTTGTGCCCAAAAACTTGCAAAGAACAATTTTTCCAACTATTGAGTTGGTCTAATAAAAGATACCATATTTACCCAAAGAACCTTGTCTACTTATACACACACACACACACATATATGCTGCATAAGTTTCAGGTATATAAACCTATACACTTAGACACACATACACACATTCCCAGGCACACATGCACCCCCACACCTATGTCCATCCACCCATACATCCCCTCCCCCACACACGTACACACACACACGCCCC